GGGGTGTGGAGGGTGAGAGGAGATAGGACAGGTTAGCAGTAAGGAAGGGAGATGTAATGCGGCGGGGCAGAAAAGGAGGGGTTCCGGTCAGGGGTTTCAGTTTACATAGTTTCAGGGTTACTCTCGGGTGGAATAGCATTCTCCTCCTCGAGCTATAAACATGCACTCAAACATGCAATGGCCCTGTTTCTCTTAAGCACTTTCCCAACCGACCTGCCCCATCACCCGTCCCTAGCAGCCATCATCACTGGCGACACACAGCACCGCCACCCCCTTTCATACAACCCAACCCAGCACCCATCACCCACTACCACCACCACCCACTACCACCACCACCCAGCACCACCACCTGGCACCCAGCGCCGAGGTGCCATGGCCCAGGGTGTGGGCGGACCTTGTTGGCCTTGGAGTCGAGCTGCCGTAGGGCAGCTTGTTGAGCGCGTGCACTGGCGCAAGCGACCACACGGTTGTCACGTCAAGGCATTGTTCGTTGAGATGAGTCGTTGCATTGCCACGACATGATGCGGTGTGGACAGAGGGCAATGTCGGAGTAAAAAGGGTGGGATGCGGAGGAAGGGGAAAGGCCGGGGGCGGGGGTGGGGGGTGGGGGGGGGGAAGAGAATGGTGAGTGGAGGGCGGAGAGCAGGAGAAATTATTGATTGAGGTGGAGAAAGGAAAGATGAGGGTAGGGGAAATGGGATAGATGTCAAGAAAGGCAGCCGTCACAGCGAACGAGACAAACATGTGTAGAGAAACAAGAAAAAGGGCTGTGTTATTGACAGGAAACACAGAGAACGGATATCAGGAGGGAGAGAAGGAGCGAGGACAGGTGAATGGCAGGCTGGTTGGGAATGGGTTTGGATGGGTGGGAACAGGTGGGGATGGGTGGGGGTCGGGCGGCTTGCACCTGGAATGTCGGTGGCACCAATGTCATCAAGATCCCTCCTGGCATCAAACCGTAGATCAGGGCCGATGGATATCCACCTGCCCGCCGGGTTTGATGAACACAAGAGGCGTGGTGATTGGCATGCCGGCAGGGGAAGGGGAAGAGGAAATGGGGAAAATGGGACTAGGAAGTGCTGGGGTTGGTGGGTGGGGGTTTGAGGAGGATGGAGCAATGCAAGGGCAGGTAAAACAGCAGCACCACGACCCTCCATTCCCACTCCTTCCCACTAGCCCCCCCCCCCCGTCCATCGTCCTCCTTCCCATCCCTTTTCCACACCCCTTCTCCTTCCCCCTCCGTCTCTCCCCCCCACCCCAGTCTCACAGTGCGCGGCGGCGGGCTTGGTGCCAGTTCCCAAGATGATCTCTGCCACTGTGCGTCCGTTTCAAGGGTCCCTCAACCCCCCACCCCACCCCGTCTCCATCCCCACCCCCTACTCACAGTGCGCGGCGGCGGCCTTTGTGCCAGTTCTCTCGTATAATCCCCGCCACTGTGCGCCCCTTGCCCACTGCCCGCAGGTCCCCAAAAGAACCCCGCCCGCACGTTCCCCGGCAGCAGCTGCCTGTGCCGCTGCCACGTGGGCGGACCAGGGGGGGTGGGAGGGAGAGAGGTGGGGGAGGTGGGGGGTAGGGGAGAGGAGAGGAGGAGAGGAGAAAGAAAGGGTGGAGGGGAGGAGGAATGTGAGTGGAAGGGTCGGGTGGGGTGCAGGGGGATGCTTGAGGCGTATGCAGGGAGGCGTGCTTCCAAAACACCCATTTAAGCCCACTCATCCATTTACATCCCACCCCACTTCAACCCACACATTACTTCCCCCCCATCAACTCTTTCCTCCCCCCTAACCTCCTCCTTCCGCCTCTCCCTCGCCCCTTCCTCTCACCTGGCTGGCATAAAAATCGTTTCCAGCTGCAATGACGACAGCGCGTTGGCCGCACGTCATCCTGCCCCGTCAGCAGCGCCAGCTTGGACGGGTCGATGTCGGGCGCTGCACGCCTGCCAGCGAGGCAGTCTCCACCACGGGGTCGGGGTGTGGGCGGCCCAGAGATAGCTTTAGCAGGGCGCTGGCGGAAAAAAAAAGTGTGTGAGAAAGTAGGGAGGGGGGAAAAGAGAGGGAGAGGGAGAGGAAGGATAAAGAGAGGGAGAAAACGGTAGAGCTTGACACTGTTCATTGACCCGGGGTAGAGGGAGAGACGTAGGGGGGCAGAGAGGGAGGATGGAGAGAGCAGGGTGGGCTTGATCCCAAGGCATTGAGTTGGAGAAGCACAGGTGGAAAGCAGAGGAGAGAGTGGTGGGGCGGGGAGGCTGGGGAAGAGAGGGGGAAAGCACAAGGACCAGGAGGGCACAGAGAAGATGGGTGGGGTGTGAGGAGGGTAAGTAGTGAGCGCAGGTGGGTGTGAAGGATGAGGATAGGTAGGGAGAACGGAGGGAGCAGCCGCGGTGAACAAGGTCGTGAGCGGAGAGTGCTGGGACGAGGGACGAGAGATGAAGAATGAGGGTAAAGGGGCAGCGGTGGGGGTCACAGATGACTCACGTAAGCTGCGAAGGTCTCTCCCGCCACGCCTTCTTCGTCCTCCTCGTCTTGAATCAACGCCTGCTCGCCATGCACATACAGTACGGCACACCCAGGCCCACACGCATGCAGCATGCCATACTACACCATAACACGTGTCATGGCGCATGCGGCAAGCACACAACAGGCGAGTTCAGAGGAAACAACCAAGTCAGCACGTGCTGCGTATAGGGACAAGGGCAATAGCGGAAGCACACTCTCCTGCACATTCGAATGTACCAGCAGCAGCACGGCCCACTCGCACGCACCTCTTTCGCGTCTGCCTCCACCTGCCTCGCCTCCTCCCCCGCCGTCGGCCCGCCCGCCCTCCCCCCTGTCATCATGCGCCGTAAGCTCGCATCCACCTCCGCTTGCGCCGCGCGCAAGCCCTCCCCCGCCATTCCCCCGCCCAGGCCCGCCAGGCTTCCCCCGCCCCGGCATCCCCCCCAATCCCCGCGGGCCCATACGAGCCCATCCCCCCATCCCCTCCCATGGTAGGTGTGGACGCGGCGTAATAGCGCATCCCTAACCCATCCACTCTCCGCCTCTTTCGCCTGCTCGCTTTCCGCGGCCGCCGCAGCAGCAGCAGCAGCCGCGGTCGCACCTGTCGCCGCGGCTGCCATTGTCGCGCCTGGTGCGGAGCCGTGAGGGGCGTGCGACGAGAGCATCATCTGGGAAGCCTGCTGCTGTTGGTGCTGTTTGCTGATAGTATTGGGCTGCGCTTCGTTGCGCTGCGCCGGGATAAGCAGCAGCGCCGGCAGAACCACCGGCACCGGCATTCCCGGTGCCGCGAGCAGCGGCAGCTGCGGCTGCAGCAGCGGACGCAGAGGCCGCGGACTGAGCTCCCGCACTGGTGCCGCCGGCGTTACCACCGAGGGACGCTGCCATTTCGTTAAGCGATCGCATGTACGCGGCGAGCTTCGCATGGTCGACGGAGAGGTGCGAAGAGCAGCGCGGGCACTGGAAGCGCGAGAGGCCGACGGGCACGCTGAGCACGGCATGGCAGTGCGCGCATGGCAGCTGGATCTTATCCGTTGTCGACGCGGGGAGAGACGCCGCGCCAGACGCGCCGTCCGCGGATTGATAGCCGTACGACCCCGAAGAAGGGTACTGGTTCATGGTTGCCTAACCTAGGTGCGCGCCGAGTCGGCTTTCTAGGGATAGTTCGCCTAGAGAGATTTGTGAAAGGTGGACCCACGCACTGACAAAAGTGAGATGAGTCACAACTCTGGTGAGCACGAAAGACTGGGATGACTCCGAATTCAGGTTCAAAAAGATGTGGTGAATGGATGACAGGGCTCGGTCGAAAAGGGTTGGGATGGGCTTTCTTCCCTTCGCTCGAACATTCAAATTCTTGATTTTCGCATCGATCGCGCGACATGTTTTCCGTCAGCACGACCGAGCGGTCCCGTGCCGTCGGTCGCACAGCTGCAACCATTTCGTGAGTCGCATGAGATGCTTCGAATCGAACCTCGCCTGCCGGGGCCGTCCTTGTCGCAACACCGCTCCAGTGTCGTCTTGATATTGAAGCATTCTATTCACGCACGGTACGCCAATGTGTATACACACTTTGATCACACTTACAAGTCATCTACTTCAAACACGCTCAACTACACCAAACAGATCTGAACAGCAACTTCATAGCAAAAAAGGGCCCACGGAAAGCATGTGAACAGAACACCCACACTTCACTGAGTAAGTTTTGCCCGCTAAGAGCACAATATAATAAACACCATGCCACTTTCATGCACCCGCTGCTCTGCTCCCATTGCTGAACAACCAAGAATACTACAGTTGCTGCAGGGTTTCCAGAATCTGCGAAGGCACGCCTTCATTACCAACAGTGCCCCCTTTATGCGAAACCCAAAGCCAGCCTGATACACCACCTGTCTACACTGGACACAAAACAGTAAATAAGATCAACTGTACAGCAAAGGCCTCAAAACAAGCCACCCTTGCATCACATCACTCTCCACCCACCTCCAATCACAACCCCCCATCCTCTTTCCACACACCCCCCTCATCCCTCCCCTCCACCCCCTCCTCACTCTCCCCACTCTCCTGCTCTCCCCCACTCCCACTCAACTCCCTCTGCATGAGCCTTCTCCTGCGCTGGAAGGTGAGCAGCGGTGCAAGGGGGTGGTCCTGCTGCAAGGTGGTGTAACCCGCAGAGGAGTAGAGCAGGAAGGGGGGGATATCCACGAGGCGGCAGTGCAGGCACATGGACGTGGCTCCCAGGGTCGCTGCCAGCTCCTCCACTGCTGACAGCAGCACTCGCGCGATGCCCAGCCTGATGGTGGGCGAGATGCGGTGGAGTGAAACGGGGTAGGTTGAAGTGAGGTGGGGTGGAGTGTGGTGAGTAAGGGTGAGTTTAAGGTGGTTTCAGGGTGGATGAGACAAGAATGTCAATATATGGCAGACGTTCGGAAGCCACACCAGGGAGAGAGGTTCTTGGTGGTGGTAAGATGGCTATAACTGATTCCTCATGCACACTCCCTCTTGCACACTCCCTCTTGCACACCCCCTCTTGCCCATTCCCTCTTGCACACCCCCTCTTGCCCATTCCCTCTTGCACACCCCCTCTTGCCCATTCCCTCTTGCACACCCCCTCTTGCCCATTTCCCTCTCCCAACTTCCATCCCGTACTCCTCACATTGCGCTCTCCCACATGCCGCCACCCACTGCCTGCATTGCCACCCACTGCCTGCATTGCTGCCACTCACCGCCTGTATTGCCACTCACCGCCTGTATTGCCACTCACCGCCTGTATTGCCACTCACCGCCTGTATTGCCACTCACCGCCTGTATTGCCACTCACCGCCTGTATTGCCACTCACCGCCTGTATTGCCACTCACCGCCTGTATTGCCACTCACCGCCTGTATTGCCACTCACCGCCTGTATTGCCACTCACCGCCTGTATTGCCACTCACCGCCTGTATTGCCACTCACCGCCTGTATTGCCACTCACCGCCTGTATTGCCACTCACCGCCTGTATTGCCACTCACCGCCTGTATTGATGTCCCACGGCCATGTTGCAGAGGTAAGCAGCATGAGGCGGGGGGTCAAGCGTGGGGAAGGCAGGGCGCGCCTTGCCTGTGAGTGCCAGCTCCACCACTCCCACCACTGGCCCCTCTGGTGGCGACGCTGTTGCTGCTGCGCCTGGCTGTAGCGGCTGCTGCTGCAGGCTGTAGCGACGAACGTCGGAGGAGGGGGAAGGCGGGGGAGAGGAGGAGGAAGAGGAGGAAGAGGAGGAGGAAGAGGAGGAGGAAGCAGCACCTGGCTCGCTGTCGGAGGAGTGAGGAGGTTGCTCCAGAGTAGCCACTAGCATCACGCCATGTGGCACAATGCGTAGTCGGCCTGCCACATAGACAGAGATCTGGTGGGCGGGGAGAGGTGCGACGTGTGAAGGGGAGAGGGGGGGGAAGGGAAGGGGGGGCACCATGTGTACAGCACAGAGAAGGTGAGCAGCATGGCATAGGCTAATCCCCGCTGACAACAGTCCATCCCTACCCATCCCAAAGTTTGCAGGCAGAATCAGCAACCCTAACCCAGAAACCCTAGCTTCCAGCCCAAACCCCCCTCTCGCAGAAACCCGAGAATCGCACCTGCATGCGCAGCAGCGGCTTGAACGTCATGCCGCCCATGTAGTCCATGAACGAATCCGTCAACATCTCCGTCAGCGCTGCCACGTGGCACCCCGCCATTGGCCGCACCACGACTGTGCGCCCCCTCGTCTCCGCCCGCCTCTCATACCCGCGAATAATCGCCACTCTCGCCGCCTCCTCCTCTTTCCCAACGGCATCACTACCGCCGTACCCGCTACTGTACGCTCCGGTGTCTCCCTGACTGGGGTATTCCCAGGGCGAGCTTTCTAGTAACCCTCCCGTTGTATTCTCCCCTGCGGCCTGCCCGTTCCGTTTCTCCTGTTCGTCCATCAGGTCCCTCGCTTTAGTCACGGCCTCCCACGTGGCACCCCAGTCGCGCCCAATCACTCCTTTTGAATCGCCGCTACTAGCCACCACTGCAGCCGCTGCTGCTAGTGCTTCCGCTATTGTTCGCGGTGCTTCTGGCGCTACCGCCGGTGCTCCCGCTGTTGCCGATGTTCCGCTAGACGCCTCCGCTCTGTCTCCCGCTGCTGCTCCGCCTGCATTCCCCTGCTCCCGCCGTTCCCGCATTACCCGTAGCACCGGCGCGTCCAGGTCCGCCGCCTCCGCCTCCCTCGCTACCCATTCCGCGGGCGCGCGTCCCCCTCTACCCTCGTCTTCCGCTGGCCCTTCGCCATTCCCGCCTCCAAGTCCCCCCGCGCGGGTGACCAGCCACCTTGGCGGAGCATCCGCGGAACGGCGCCCGCAGCCCTTTCGGGAAACGGCTAATGCGCGCTTAGAATGCGGTATTCTTCCGCCAATGAACTCGAACCTTCCGCAGCGTCGCCGCGTTGACGATGCATGGCGAGGTTGAAAGTCGACGTGGCTGACGACCGCGATGCGATCAAAGCGACGAGGGTCAAGGGTGGTGGAGGCGCGGATCGAAGGGGAGTAGCCTCTGCCTGGCGCGCCAACGGCAGCCATTAGCGCCATCTCGGGTGATGCAGAAGGCTCGCGGAGTTGCTAGGGGACACTTGTGATTGGGGTATGTGTGGGTGTTGAACGATATGTGAGAAAGTGGTCTGGTACAGAATTGTTGGCCGAACCGAACTGACGCGTGCCTCGGGTGTACTCGCTAAGGTCATGCTACAGTAAGGAGTTTAATTCCTTCCATTACGGGTGATCATAACACTTTAGCTCTCTACATTGCGATCGTTGCATGTCTTAGAATCGCTTTCTGTTTTTCCCAAGTCCTTTTCGTTGTGCTGCCAATCACTCTGACTTCGGGTCAACGAGGGTTGACCTCTCGTTGACCCGTCCGACTAATGTAGCTTCACGACTGCCAACCAGACCACACTTAGAGCGTGGAACATACTGGGGGAAGTCGAAGAAGTGCGGACCGTCACCGCTCTGCAACGTACTATAACTCATAAAGCATAGCAGTAAACATGCGGACCATTTTTTACCGTATCAAAAGTTCGGACTTTTTGGTAAGTTCCCAGGTTGTTCACGCGGACATGTGGTCTGGGTTCGTCCTCTCTGGGGCCAAACCAAATCCATTGGCTTGGCACGCCAAATTTGTTTACCCCTCGCCTCGCCCCTCAACCAAGCGATTGGCTGGGCGCGCCTTTTCTTTGGGCCTTCCCCCTCAGGTGCTCACCATCACAGCTAGCAGCACGCAAGCAAGGCAACTGGGGTGCACGTAAAGAGCCAGCGCTCCACAACTTCATTCAGAGCACTTATTCCTAGTAGTACCACTTGTGGCGCTCATTCTCGTTCACAGCCAAAGATGGCACTCGCCCCTCCCTTCGCCGTGCGTGGTATTCGTCTTCCCCACGCAGCGCTGCTGTGCCTCGTCATTTCCATCGCGCTCTCCGCGCCGTGCGCCGTGCGCGGCGCGCAGGGTCCCGCCGCGTCGTCGATAGCGGCGGCACTGGCGAGCGCGTCGTCGTCGTCGTCGTCGCCGTCGCAGTCGTTCGACGTGTCGCTGCTCGTCCTCAATGCCGCCGGGCTGCTCGCCAGCTGCCCGCGCGCGCGCCGCTCACTCTCTTCGCTCCCACCGACGCCGCGTGGCGCGCCGCATTCCACGCCCTCGCCCTGCCGTGCGTCAACGCCTACTTTTCCTTCCCCGGCGGCTTTGGATCCGGCGGTGGCGGCGGCGGCGGCGACACGCTCGTAAGCCCGGGAAGTTCGGGCGGCGCGTCAGACGGGTTGAGTTTGGAGAACATGACGCTTCCCGTCGACAACTGGACCATGCCCGAAATCGGAGCGCTGGATTTCGATCCAATCATCGCCGCATTAAGCGCCGTCTATTCCGACGACGGGTCGCCCGCGTCGCTGGCGGCGCTGGCGAAGGAGCGGCCCGAGGCGCTGAAGGCTCTGTCGGAGCTCCTCGCGTTCCACATGGCGACGTCGGCGCTGGACGCGGCGGCCATCGCGGCGCAGTTCACGGCAGATGCGGGCAACCTGACGACGGTGAACGGGCAGGGGCTGTGGATCAACTACAACGCGAGCCAGTCCGCCGCGCTGCTC